CCCCAGCACCGGTGCGGACCCCAGCACCGGTGCGGACCCCAGCACCGGTGCGAACTCCAGCATCTGTCAGAGCCCCCAAACTAGCCCGGGAGTCCTTGCCGTACTCGGCCTTACCCGTGGTTCAGCCGTCTTCTTCCAGGCGTGCGAGCTACCTCTTAAAGGATCCCACACTCGCTCAAAAGCAGGAATCCTCGACCCACATCCCAGCGGAGGCCATCCAGGATCCCCTTCCGGTGCTCACTGCCGTGGCCTCCAAGACACTGGGCTCAGTCTTGGACTCCACCCATCAGTTAGACGCCTTGGCTTCTAATGCCAAGGCCTCCAGTACATTGAACCCCACTCCGGGCCCTATCTCTGCACTGCAATTCTTTACCACCCAGCTAAAGGAGGGCCCTGCTCTGGGTCAGCTCCCCACACTTTCCCCATCACCCAGCTTCATCTCCACCAAGGAGGTCCCCTCGACCAGCGAGAACTCCCCAGCGGCCAACAGAATTTTGATTCGCGTGACTTACTGGTGAGCGGCTCCCCGGACCCGTTACAGCTGAAGCGGGCAGGTGCTGGGCTTTGGGCATGTATGTGCAGGTCCAGGTGTGCCCTAGGCAGGGCGGTAGATCCGCAGTTCTGACTTCCACCTGTCTGTCCCTTTGGGGTTAGAAGGCTTTGTTCAGTCCCCACCCTGGCTCTCAGTTGCCCACACAACTCCTGGGATTCGCTCATCCATTCTCTCTCATTTGTATGTTTACTGTCTTTGGGCTTCATTCCTTCTCTCCTATTCCTTCAAACATTTGTGTGAGTGACTCTGAGCTGCGTGCATTCTCCTTTAACCAATCGCTGATGAGCATTTCCCACCTGGCAGTCAGAATTTTTTGATCTGCAGGAGTCCTATCTCTTGACCTCATGCATGCTTCTTCATTCCTTCCTATGATTCATCCGACTTCATGCACTCTTATTCTAATTATTTATTCTATTTATTTATTTATTTATTTATTTGAGACAGGGTTTTACTGTAGCCTGTCCTGGAACTCACTCTTGTAGACCAGGCTGGCCTCGAACTCACAGAGATCCGCCTGCCTCTGCCTCCCGAGTGCTGGGATTAAAGGTGTGTGCCACCACCGCCCAGTTTGCACTCTCATTCATCCATTCCTATGATTGGTAGTAACGCTGAGCTTCATTTATCTACTCTCATTCATCCAGCATTTGCATGATTGCTGGCTCTAAACTGCATTCTCATTCATTAATTCCTTTATCCATTCATTCTCATTCATCTATTCATCTGTTGATTCCCAGGACTCTGAGGGTCCTGCCTGGCCCACCGGTGCTGGACATGGTCTGCTGAGCTGCCTCATTTACTGCTGGTTCCCTAGCAGGCCAGTCAGTAGTGGTGCAGCTGGGAAACAAGAGCTTGGGAGTCTGGATGCCGCCTCAGGCTCAAGCTGTGACTGGGTTGAATAGGAGCGGCTAAGGGCCATCTTCCCCATGCCCCTCCTACTCTAGAGTACTCCACGCCCTTTTCTCACACTCTGCCAGGCCTTTCCTATCAGCTCATTTTGACTCTTCCCGCCCCACAGCGTCTCTTTCTCCTCTTCACAAGCTTGCTTCCCTCCAGCTCTCTCCCGCCTCTCCCCATTTCTCCCTGCCTCGAAAAATAAAACAACAAAGCAAAAAGACCAATGAGAAGGGTGCTGTAGCTGGACAAGGTAGGGATAAGAGATGAAGGGTGGAGACAGTCACATAGCCACTCAGGGATTACGAGGAGGATGGCTGTTTTCCCCTGAGATGGTACCATGGGTGAGGGGTTATGCTACAGGCGGGGCAGGGACGGGGTCTGACTCATGCTCACTGCCTCTATGGTGTCTCCCTTCTCCCTCTCCACCTCCCCCACTCCTTCCCTCTGCTTCCAGTGGCCTCTGAAGCTATGGCCTTCAGGTGAGTCATTTCTTCTTCAGAACATAAGGGAGCACGCCATGCGAAGACTGGAAGGGGGTCCATTTCCTATCCTGTGATCCCATGACCCCATGACCTCATCTTTTCCCTCTCAGTACATTCTTCTGAAAAAGACCCTGGAGCATCACTTTCCAAACCTTCTGGACTTTGTAAGTGTGCTGGTGTGCTGGGGAGAAGGAGTGACCAGGGTCCCCAGACCCCTGACAGGAAGAGGAGCGCTCTCAGCCTCCTCTACCCGCTACATTCCCTTGCCAGCAGTGTGCTGGTGCCCTGGGGGAGTGGTCAGTGTTCCCAGACCCTGATGGTTCAGAGGAGCCTCTCATTCTCCTCCCCCCCCCCCCCCCCCCCCCCCCCCATCCCTCGCCAGGAGGAGGAAAGAGCTACCGAGACAACAGGGGAGTTTGAAGTGTTTGTGGATGGGAAGCTGGTCCATTCCAAGAAGGTGATTTTGGGCGAGGGGGCTGAACAGGGTCAGAGAATGGGGTTGGGGGTACTTGGAGGTTGGAATCCCGTCTGGACTCTTTCTCCTCTGCACCCAGAAAGGCGATGGGTTTGTGGATGAGACCGGTCTGAAGAAACTCATGGGTATTATCGATGAGGAGATCAAGAAAAGGTAGCAGCTGGAGTGGAGCTGGAGACGAGCGAGGTGCACTGGAGGCCGGGGGGAGGCGTGAAGGTGAGTGAGCAGGGGGCAGCATCCAGGCCACTCCAGCTCGGCCGGCCCTCACCCTAAAATCGCGGCGCAGCACGTCTTTTATTTTACATTGGGGGGCACATGAATATTGAGGCATAGATGTGGGGGTCAGAGGACATCTCGTAGGAGTCCGTTCTCTTCCTCCACAGTGTGGTTTCTGGGGGGATTGAACTCAGGTCACCTAACTTGGCAACAAGTACCTTTATTCATTGAGCATTATGGTCAGCCTCCCATTCCCCCTTTGAGACAGTCTTACTGTCTAGCCCAGGCTGTCCTAGAAGCAATTGTGTAGCTCAGGCTGCCCTTGAACTCCCAGCAATCCTCTTGCCTCAGCCTAAGTTTTGGGATTACAGATCTGAGCTACCCTTTCCAGCCCTTCAACTCTTGACGCCCCACCTCTGTTTTTTTGAGACAGGGAATCATGTAGCTCAGGATGGCCTCAAATGCTCTGAAACTGAGAATGACCTTCAGCTGCCTCTGCCTCCCTGTTTGTGGGAATTACAGGTGTGCCCGCCACTCCCAGTTCACTGGGGAGTGAAGCTGGAACCCTGTTTGTAGACAAGCATTCTGCCAGCTGCTCTACAGTCTCACCCCTCTTTGCCTCGTTCCTCCTGTCTCCTCAGTGCTGGGACTGACCTGGGCCTCATACCTGAGGCGAGTGCTGCAGCCATTGCCCCTTTTCCTTTGCTTCTCTGTAGCTTTGGAGCCCGTCTTGGAACTCACTCTGTAGACCAGGCTGGCCTCGAACTCACAGAGATCCACCTGCCTCTGCCTCCTGAGTGCTGGGGTTAAAGGTGTGTGCCACCACTGTCCTTTTCTTTCCTTTCTTATTTTGAGATAGGTTTCTCCTCAAATTACCCAGGCTAATCTTGGTTTGCAATCCTACCATTAGCTTGGGTGACAGTCCAGCAACACTAAGCTTGACTTGTCAATGAGATCATGGAGACAGTTCCACGAGAGGACTCCCAGAGTGATGGATAATCTCCCTCACTCTTTCCTCCTCCTCTGAGCCTAGATTTTCCTATTTATTCTCTCTGCTTCCCAGCCTGGCCTATCCTTTCTCTGCCCGCCTAGCAATTGGCCATTTTATTAGACCAACCAGGTGTCTTAGGCAGGCAAGGGGAAAGAAATGCTAAACAAATGTAACACACTTTCATATCATATTCTGTAGCATAAACAAATGTAACAAATATTTGCCCAGTTAAAATAATATTCCATGCCAGGCGGTGGTGGCACATGTCTTTAATTCCAGCACTCAGGAGGCAGAGGCAGGCAGATCTCTGTAAGTTAGAGGCCAGCCTGGTCTACAAGAGCTAGTGCCAGGACAGGCTCCAAAGCTACAGAGAAACCTTGTCTCCAAAAAAAAAAAAAAAAAGCAAAAACAGAAACAAAAAAATAGGGTGAGGGTGGGGGCTGGAGAGATGGCTCAAGAGTTAAGTACCCAATTTGCTCCCTAGCACCCACACTGATGGCTCACAACCATCTGTAATTCCAGTTTTAGAGGATCCAACATCATCTTCTGGCTTCTGCAGGTGCTAGGCATGCATATGCTACACAGACATATGTACCAGCAAACACTCATACATATAAAACAAAAATAAGTGAATCTGAACAAAAATAAGGAGGCATGAGATAAAAGATATTTGACATCTGCCTCTGGCCTCTATATATATGTGCAGAGGCACACAGACACACAACACATGTACCCATATACACAGGTACACATACACACACATGCCAACTACAAAAGGGCTGTGGATGTAGCTCACTCGTAGACTGCTTGCCTAGTGTGCAAAAAGCCATGGATTTGATCCCCAGCACCATATAAGGTGGTGCAGGCCTGTTCTGGGGAGGTGGAGCAAGGAGGTTGTGTGACTCGAGTCCATCTTTACTATATACATACACACTTATATATGGACTATATATACTGATCACACACACATATGGCCCATAATATATCTATACACATACAGGCTCTCTCTCTCTCTCTCTCTCTCTCTCTCTATATATATATATATATACATATACATATACATATATGAACTATATATATGAACTCAGTGAT